TATATATATATATATATCTTCTAGATTTTTTCCAGAGTAATTCCAGATGCTGCCAGGTGTTGGTTGTAGCACTTCACCATATATCTATGTATTGCAGTTTGCCCCGCAATCTGAGATATTCCTCCTTCCTACCATCCTCTGGATGTTTGTTTCTGGTTGGTGACAATCCAGCCACATAAGTGGTTGGCTGATACCCTTCTCCTTCTGCGGACTGGATGATAAGTTCCCAATGCCGCCAAGTTTTCGACTGGAGATGCCCTCATCATTTTCCTCCTGTACACTGGATGTAGGTTCCCAATGGATTTGGTGTTAGGTGAAGCTGGACGAAACACATGAATCCTCGCATTGGTTCCCTGTTCCTACTACTGACTGGATGAGATATTCCCAATACTGGCTGGTTTTGGACCAGAGATGAATTCCTCCTGAGCTCTCCTTACTTCCTACCATCTGGTGGATCTGGTGTTGGTTGTGTTGGATATGTGCACATAAAGAGATGGGTTCTTGGTATGGAAGCTTGTCTTCCCTTCTAGTACCAATTTTTGAGGTGACAGGTGGAGGACCCTCTTCATACCATGGACCTGATGTACAATTCCAGATGCTGCCAGGTGTTTGTTGAGGTAGAACTCCCATTTACGGTCTGTTGCACCCTAGCCACTCGACACCTCGAGGTCCCATTAATGATGAAACTATTTTGGGGTCCATCCATGTTTCTGCCCTTTTATTATAGTGATACTACTTAAAGGTGAAGGGTATACCTGGCTCAGAAGTGGTACGGTCTCCTACTGGTGTGATGTTTCTAATTCCCGTTCCACAACACAAGGTCTTTCTTTGGGCACTTTCTAAAGGAAAATCGTCTTCTCACCAGCCCTTCACCAGCTATAGTTTTTTGTGAGAGGAGGTAAAATATCTTATTGGAAGTTAACATTTTCCTAAACTGTAAATGAATTTCCAAATAGGTACTTACCTCCTTTCAAATTTCCAACCCATCCTCCCTATTTCTGGTGTATTGGTTAAATTGGTCGTGGCCAATCTTGAAGTGAGTGATTAAGTAACTCCTATTGGTGGAGGGTTGCTGCATGTACATATGCAGAAAGAACTGGGGGTTACAAGGCTAGTAGTGAGCAAAAAAAGTTTACTGATAGAGGACAGTACTGATCAAGAAAAATATTTGTGAGAAGTGGTAAGTATTTATTTGGAAATACATTTTCAGTTTAGGAAAATGTTAACTTTCTAAGAGGGTAGTTGACCTTTGATATGGTTGCCTTCAGATATGGTGAATGTGGTAAATTTAAGAGATTTTAAAGGAAGGCTTAATAAACATTTGAAAAATAAGGTCTGACTTTTAGTATTTTATTTTAAAGTTTAGTTTAATGGAAGGAACAGCCTGGATCAACAGGCCACTTGTCCTTAAATTTTATGTTATAATGCTGATATGGTTGTGTAAGAGCATTAATTTTTAATCTGAGAAATTGTGACTGTGGTGTTATTGCTGAGAAGGTGGACATGTTTGTTGCTGGTGTTTCACCTTTTATGTGTACCTTTTATTTTTGACTTACCTACTTTCTGGTCTAGAAATTGCCATTATTGAACATGCTATAGTTTGCATACTCTAAGAATGTAGAATTGTGAATTATATGGTAGTAATATTGTAAGTAATTATTATTATTTGACTTTGTAAGATGTCAATATGGTATTAAGTCAAATGTCATACAATGATTGAAAATTATAAATTTGTATTGTTCTTTAACCTGTTGTACAGCTTTTACAACATTTGTTGCTGAGTAAAGAAATTATATGACATAATGCAAATTGCTTATTTAATTTTAAGATTGTGCAACTGAATTGCCATTAAAATGTAAAATACTATGAACTGTATACCAACTAACAGATAGCTGCAAAACATTTGAAGTCAAATTAGTATCTGTATTGTGACAGCACTTCTTTAGATAAGGGTTTCTAGAATAATACAAAATAATTCTAATTGCAGACACCAAGATCTATAAGTCAACTTGTATTAGGCCTAACATTAGATAAGCCTTTATTAAGTATGGCCTATATAATTGATAGAGAGATAAATTAACACTAACTTGTGTAGGTTTTTTGCTAAACTTTACTGTACTTAATACTATCAATAAATAAACTTATAATGTTATTCTATGATATTTATAATCATTAGACCTTTTTCAAAAACTTTAAGCTTTTAATATGTTGTGCAAAATGTCTACTTCAAGTGTATTTATAGCCACCTTTGTTTACATTTGTTGAAATGAAGTGTGTATGCACAGACATTTAAATAGTGAGGCATACTCTTATTTTCAGGACAGACAAAATCTGGGTATTATTATAACAGATTGTTTAATGACTACATTTATTTGGAAAATTGTATATATTCATGTAGAAGTGTAAATTGATGAAGTTTAAACTGGTTGTTAACTGAAGCTTTAGGAACAATGAACCTTAGTGGCATGACTTGTAATACAGGCTCTAACAGTGATTTGGACTATTGTAATGTAATAAAATATATAACCTTAACCTATTTTGTTATTAGTAACTGAAATATATCATCCATGACACTAGAATAAATGAACTTATCTCTTCTAACTTTGTCTACAAATGGTTACCTGACATTTAATAGAACTGGCAAAAATATATGAACAAAAGTACATAGAAATATTCTATCAAACAGCTGAGGTCAAGCGTTTTGGTACAGAACACAACTGCATGACTACAGGCTTCAACTTTATTATAGTCTATGGCACTGATGTTATATTACAAGGTTTTGTCAGTTGTGTACTACATATTAGATTCCTTTACAGGAATTTTTTATATTAATTTGTTGGCTGTTTACATAGCTTGACTGAAAAAAAAAATATCGTACAAGTTAAAAAATATTATCTTCCTGTAATAACAAGCTTGAACTGAAATAACTTTCTGCTTTGTCAATGGTAAACAACTTCATTTTATTTTAAATTGGTTACTTTGTTATCCAAAAATATAAAAAAAAAGAACAAGGTACTCTTTGTTGTGCTACTTATTTGATTTATTATACAGTTTTACATGCATGCTTTTTATGAATTGGCACTGATGATTTTGTTGGTAGGTATGGAAACACATGGTTGATCCAGAAGAGTCTATGCCCAGAGTCAACATTTTTATGGGAGTTCCAACCATGTATGTGAAATTAATTGAAGAGTACGACAGCAAGTTTTGTCAGGCAGGTACCTCCTCTCGAACAAGAGAATTCATTAAAGCTGTGTGCATGCAAAAACTAAGGTAAGTATTATTTGTAATAGATAAGATTAAGAAAGCATATTAATTAAATTTTCATTTAAGTTCACCTTTATTATGACAAAAGTTTGTACGTAAGACTTGCATGTTGTAAAATCTGTCCTTGAAAATGGAAATATTGTATTTGAACACCAAAATGAATGAAGTGATATACTACATATAGATTTTTATATAGCAAAATTATTAAATGATATGTAGCCAAAGGATACAATATTTTTAAGAAGGAAGCAAGAAGCCATGTTCATTGCAAACTTTGACTCAGCAAAACATTTAGAACAATGGGTTTCAACACCACACATGCAAGTTATTGTCTTCATTTGTAAAATCTACAATTATGAAAGAAACCCTTTGACCTAAAAAGAGCTATTGCAATGATGCTAGGTATACCTTCTCTTTCTGTTAATAAGATAATATAAAAGGATTGAAGTTAACAAAATTCAAAGACAAAAGGTTCTGAAGTTTCCAGCCACACCTCAAAATTAGTGACTGTTTTCATGAGAAAGATGGCCAAAGAAAATTGAATTACAGCATTCCTATTGTACCACACTCCTGTCAAGTTTTTCAGTGCAGCTCCATTGGAACTTTACCTTTTGGTTTGCTTAAACATGTATGGTTGTAAAAGCTAATGCTTATATACAGTGTGTGTGTGTGTGTGTGGAACACTTGTGAAGATGTAACCTTTCCATATTTTACTGAAGCTTGTTACAACAAAAAACAGCATAATCATGGCTATTATGGTATTAGGTTGAGCATGACTGATGATGGAGGTAGTGTGATTAATCTTCAATATGTGACCACATGGTACTGAAAAACAAACTACTATGGAAACCACATTACACAATATTTTAGGCTTAGATGGATTTCAATGGGTAAATTCTTTTACAAGTATTATGATTTAGAAATATTTAAGAGATAGAAAGAGAACTAGTTGAAAATATTTACACACAAGAAATGAAGAGTATTATAACTACTGTTAAAGTAATTAAGTATTAAATGATTAATAGAAGACAAACTTTTTAATTTTTGTCATTTTGTAGGTGATTTTTTCAGTCTTTCTGATAGCCTAAGGACATCCGTATTTGCAATGTATGATGTTGGATCATGTATAGTAGTATTTCAAACTTGTCAGTCTCTAAACAATTTTTTTTTCAAAATAGATTTTGATAAGTTATTGACTGGATTCACTACATGGTAAGAAAAATAAGTTCTGAATACACTCTCTAGCACCTGATCTACTAACCATCAATGTGTTAAATACAGGATACACCAGTTAGCAGCTGATCCACTAACCATCAATCTGCACTATATATGGGATATACCCATAAGAAGCTGATACAGTAACTACCAATCTGTCTTAAACACAGGATATAACCATAGCAGCTGATCCACTACCCATCAATCTGTGTTAAGTACACTATACACCCATTAACAACTGATCCACTATCCATCAATCTGTGTTAAATACATGATACACCCATTACCAGCTGATCCACCACCCATCAATCTGTCTTAAATACAGGTTACACCCATAAGTAGCTGATCCACTACCCATCAATCTATGTTAAATACAGGATGTATATCTATTAACAGCTGATCCACTACCCATCAATCTGTGTTATATACAGGATATACCCATTAGCAGCTGACCCACTACCCATCAATCTGTTTTAAATACAGGATATATCCATTAGCAAGCTGGTGTATTTAACACAGATTGGTGGGTAGTGGATCAGTTGATAATGGGTATATCCTGTACTTAAGACAGACTGATGATTAGTGGATCAGCTGGTAATGGGTATATCCTGTATTTAAGACAGATTGATGGTTAGTGGATCAACTGTTAATGGGTGCATAGTGTACTTAACACAGATTGATGGTTAGTGGATCAGCTGCTAACTAGTGTATCCTGTATTTAACACATTGATAGTTAGTAGATCAGCTGCTAACTGGTGTATCCTGTATTTAACACATTAATGGGTAGTGGATCAGCTGCTATGGTTATATCCTGTGTTTAAGACAGATTGGTGGTTACTGTATCAGTTTTTTATGGGTATATCCCATATTTAGTGCAGATTGATGGTTAGTAGATCAGGTGCTAGAGAGTGTATTCTGTATTTAACACATTGATGGTTAGTGGATCAGCTGCTAATGGGTGTATCCTGTATTTAACACAGATTGATTGTTAGTGGATCAGCTGCTAATGGGTGTATCCTGTATTTAACACATTGATGGTTAGTAGATCAGGTGCGAGAGAGTGTATCC